ATCCATCCATCCATCCATCCATACATACATACATACATACATACACACATACATACTTACATACATACCTACCTACCTACCTACCTACCTACCTACCTACCTCCCTCCCTCCCTCCCTCCCTCCCTCCCTACCTACCTACCTACCTACCTACCTACCTACCTACCTACCTACGCACACACACACACACACCTACACACACCTACACACACCTACACACACACCTACACACACACCTACACACCTACACACACCTACACACACCTACACACACCTACACACACCTACACACACCTACACAAACAAACAAACAAACAAACAAACAAACAAACAAACAAACAAACACACACACACACACATATGCAATCTACGCAAATCCACAGGCAGATACCTAGGCACAATGGGATTCACGGACGCATGGATAGATACGTCCTGTTCTCGACACCGTTACCAAGGCAGGGTACAGCGGGTACAGCTGCAGGACGTCTTGAAAGTTTGACAACCTCGCTTTCATATTGCCTTGGTATGCAATTTGCAACTTGATCCGCTTTCGGACTTGACTTGGCTCTTCGAAGTTTCATGCCCAGATGCGGGAACCGTGGCGCATCCTCGATATGCAGCGGCAGGCCCGACATGGAGTACTGTCCTGCAGGGAACCCTCGCTTTTTTGAATCCGTGAGCAGGTATACCTCTGCTTGTCTTCCATCGCTCGAAACCAGATTTTTGGGCATGTCAGGGCAAGAGTGGACGTGAAGGTCTCAACTCTGCCGGCACCTGTGGCGAAGTTGAAACGGATCAGCTGCGACAGCGTCTCCAGACCGCGCAGAGCGCCCCACACGGTCTTGGCAGAAATCACCGCGGTTCCATCGACGTTCACGTCCTGCACTCTAATGTATCAACAAGGACACATGAGTGGAATGTTACCACAACAAGCAAATCGTTGAGCATTGGAAAATCCAGTGATGCGAAAACTGGCTGGATAACATGGTTAACACGAAAGACCATTCGTCTGTCAGCGAACGCCACAACGAACCCCAGAAAGTTGGAACATGTATTTAGGACTTGACCTGAATGCCATGAGGATATGGATGTTCCAACTTTCTGGCTTCTATTGTAACTACCTCGTCAATTCAACAACGCAACACTTCAGGGGCTTCAAGACAGCGCCGGGGAGGAAGGTCGACTATAGGAAGCCTCAGTAAAAACATCCAAAAGTTCAAGAGACCGAGCATACTTCAGCAAGAAAGACAACACGAAAGTAACATGGGTCTGCTTTTCAGTGCATTTCTTTCGCAAAGCATCGAGTCTAGGTCCTCCTGTGTCTGACACCACTGTGATACCGCAAGGCTGCAACAGGTGAGGAATGGCTTTAGCATGCCTTCAGTGCACCAACGCCTTCACATGCAGGGCACAGTTGAGTGCCTGAGTATTCGAAGGTTGGGTTTAGCCCAGGTCGGCTGCTTCCTTCAGAAGAGCCCACCTCCCATAAAGTGAGCGTTATTGCCTGCCATCGCCCTGATTAGATCCGCCTCACTGGTTCTTAAAGCAGCCTCCAGCTCCTCATCTGAATCCTCTCCTAGTAGGACACGCTCGATCTCCGCGTCTATCTCGGCCATCCGCCCTTGCGAAAGGCCTGAAGCACCCGCGATCCCTAAAGGATCTCGGTTCTCGGCAGCGAAAAGTTGGGGCGAGGGCTGCTGCATCGAAGGACCGCCCAGCCGAACCCAGTTGTTGTAGAAAGTCTGTGTGGTAGGGTGCTGGTCACCGAGCATCTCCCGGCTTTTCATCCACGCGGCTTTGAACAACTCTTCAGCCTCCCTGAGCTTTCCTTGGCTTTGCATCACACCTCCCAAACTATTCAGGCAGATCAAGGTGTGCGGATGGTCGTCACCGAGCTTCTCCTGGCTGATCTGCAGGGCTTCTCTACAGAACGGCTCGACCTCCCCGAATTTCTCTAGGTGCAGCATGCTGGTAACCAAGCTCATCAAGGTGCCCAGGGTGTCCGGATGGTCCCTGCCCAGTCTTTCCCGTCGCTTCTGCAGGACTTCTCGATACAAGGGCTCGGCCTCCCTATTTCTTCCTTGCTCCGCGAGGAGAGTGGCCAAGTTATTCCTGGTGGTCAACGTGCTGAGGTGATCCGTAGTGAGCTTCTCCTGGCAGGTCTGCAAGGCTTCTCGGAACAGGGCCTCAGCCTCTTTCATGTTGCCCTGCTCTTGCAGTACACCTGCCAAGTTCTGCAGGGCACCCAAGCTGTCCTCATGATGAGCACCCAGCTTCTCTTGGCGCGTCTGCAGCGACTCTCGGAACAGAGGCTCCGCCTCAGCGGGCTTTTTCTGCTCTACCAGAAGAGTGGCCAAGTTGTTCAAGGAAATCAATGTGAGGGGATGCTTCGCACCAAGCTTCACCCGGCGCTTCTGCAACACTTCTCGGTGGAAGCGCTCAGCGTCGTCCAGCTTCCCCTGTTCTTTGAGCGCGCCTGCCAAGTCGTTCAAGATGGACAAAGTCTCCAAATGGTCGCTGCCGAGCTCGTCCTTGCACTTCTCCCAGTTCTCTCGCCACCGAGATTCCGCCTCTTGATATTTTCCCTGGCTGTAGAGGGTGTGCGCCAGAGAATCTAGGATTTTTCGTGTCAGTTTGTGATTTGCGCCGAGCTTCTTCTGGCTTTTCTGCCAGGCATCACGGCTCAAGGGTTCGGCCTCGGCAGCTCTTCCCAGAAAATTCAGGCAGGTGGCCAAGTTCGTCAAGGAGATCAAGGTCTGTTCGTGGTCCTTGCCGAACTTGTCTTGGCGCTTTTCCAGGGCTTGTCTGCGAAGCTCCTCGGCTTCAGAATGCCTTCCCCGTCCGTTCAACCGGTCTGCCAGCTGGTCCATACAGTCCAGAGTAGCGCAGTCCTCGTTTCCCAAACGTCCACGGAGCTTTGACAGTCGAAGCTGCAGAAGCTGAATCAGCCCTTCGGCTTCAGCAGTCGCATGCTGAACGATGCCTCCTTCGCTTGCGAGTCTGACGACCCAGACGTCACGATTGCGATGGACTGCACGGCCCTTGTAGTCCTCTCCGAGGGCAAGGGGGCGTTCCTTGCCGCTCTTGTCAGTCACCCTTTTCGCCTTCATGTCAGGGGTCTGCTTCTCAAAGATGTTGTACGCAATTGAGTCTGGAACGATGAGGGGCACGCAAAACTGTGCCCTGTGGCCCGTGGTGTTGCCATCGCCCCATTCCTTCTCAACTCTTCGAGATTCTTCATCGCTTGTGTCTCGCCGAAGCGGATCCTCGTTGCTGTAGTTGTTAAGGAGGATTCGCACCCTCGAAGCCCAGACTGCAGGCTCGTGCTGGGTGGCATAGACGCCCTTCCCAAAATGAGCGCGCTCATCTACCAGGGAGGCAAAGATCTCTGCCGCCGATAGCTGTGAATTGCCAACGTTCAGGAAGGCCAATTCGTTGCTGTAGTGGTAGAGCACACGGATGTTCTCACCTTTTTGGCCAAAGCCACGCAAATCGAAGGCGAACTGCCAAACAAAGGTTGGGCCATCGGCGCCTTCGAACTTATAGATCGGCAGGCCAGCTTCAATCTGCCCTTTTTCGTAGCTGTCTTTCTCAAAGACCTCGCCATCAAGGTATCTGCCAACAAAGTATTCCGAGAGGTCGGCTTTTTGTAGCTGTGCCTGCACTTCCTGCTTGATCAGAAGCCCACCAGGTGCTGAAGAATTTTGTGTGTCCGAGCCAGGGTCCTTTTTAGAGACAGTGCCGTTGATGCCATGAACCGCCTTGACCTCAGATTCCTGGCTGGCACCAGATCCCATGGGTCACTTCGAAGCCCATGAGCGCCCACTTCGCTGTTAAATGGCTGCAGGAAGTGCATCGTTGACACAGCTGCTCAGCAGGCTTATTCGGCTTGCTGCAAGGAGCTACAATACCACTACCAGCACCAATGCTGTTCTCCTTGTTTTGAGATGCTTAATTAACAGTGTCATGATGATGACGATGAAGATGATGGTGGTGATGTTGATGATGAAGATAGTGCTCAAGGTGGGGGAGCACTGCCGGGTGCTGCTACAACGTCTCAGTCCAGAGTGTACGACTCATTCACGCCGAGAGCAAGGTCCGCGGTGGAATCCTCGGCCGAACATAGACGCGCACAGACTGTCACCATCGAAGACACGACAAAGCCCACAAAGATCCGTAAACTTGCGAGCCCCCAAGCTGCCACCTTTTAACTACTATCGGGCTTGTTGCCGCCACGGATCCTCGACGTTCACTACCAGGCCGGCACTCACTGCAGAAGGATGGGCCGTGGTCGCCCGCGGGAAAAACAGTGGCTGGTATCTCTTGAACGCCCTGAGCAGTTCGGCGGGCGTTGTGATCGCCTCAAAGCCTGCCAAGCTGCACGGCAGGAGCTCAGAACATAAGTCACCGCGCACAATGCCCCTAAAGTCGTAAACGACCCAGCAGCCCGACACTGCAGAAGCAACACAACTTCGGAGTGGAAAGAACCGCACTGCAGCCATGCAAGCCTGCTCTAAGCCCTGTAGTAGTCCTTCTTAGAATGTGCTCTCTACGCACAGGAACCTGATTCTGACGGCCCCCCCCCCCAGCTGCAGCACGGAACATCCCTGAGTCCGAGCAGCTGTAGGTCGCAGGATTCAGCAGCACGGTTCCAGTGCCAGGACTTGGCTTTGCAAGGCTTGCAGCTCTCTCAAGGAGCCGTGCAAATCTTCTAAATCTGCTTCGGTCCTTCGGTCGTGGTCGAAAAAAAGAGTGCAATTAGAGTGAGTTGGTCCAGCATGGACCTGGGCACGGCTTTCGACCCAGATTCAACTCGTATGGCGGAAGTTTATCACCCCTGCGCAAGGTGCGCTCAGATTGGAAGGAAGGGCAGAGACTCACGCCGTCGCTCCTATCATCCTCATCATCAACATCAAAGTCGTCAACATACTTATGATGATCATCACCATCATCATCATCATCATTATCATCATGGTCATCATCATAATCGTCATCGTCATGGCCATCGTCATCATCGTCGTCATCATCATCATCATCGTCATCCTCGTGAGCATCGCGTCACTTCGTCATCTTCACCCTGGACATCATGCTGCTAGCGGCTAGCTACCTGACTTCCACCTTTGCATTTCACCTGTGTTTTACCTTTTACCTTGTTTCTGCCTTTCGCAATCACGTTTGTTCTACCTTCATGTTACCTCTATTTAAATTCTACATGCGTTGCCGTGTCCAATGCTAGAATCTCTTAATGCTAGCCGCGACTCGCATTATGGAGGCAGCACCGCCTCCTGGTGCAGCAGAGTGGCACAACGCGGTTTGGTAGCGGCCACAGCGGTCCCAGGCCTGCAACCTGCGGCGGTTGGGCATTGCAATGGCAGGACCGAAGGACCGAAGGAGGCCTTGGAAAACGTGACAATGAGTGTCGGGTGTTGGAGTTGGGAGTTGCAGGACTGGCAACAGCAGGAGCAAGTGAGGTTTCTCTCTCATGTGGCTGATAGCCTGGGTGACGAGAGCCAACTGCAGCAGCGGGCGCATGGCGCCCTTTCACAGTGAATGGCAAGGAGTGGACTAAAATCCACAACGCGGGCAGTGGGCAGTGCAGGAGCTGTGGGCTTTTGGGGATACTGGCTAGATGATGGTAACTTCGAGCTCCGGGCCAACATAAGGCGCTACCGATCTACCGATACCTCTTTCAAGTGCACCTCCAACAGGCTACAGCCAGGGTGCGGTGCGATGCCAAAGAACGCAGTAACACGGTGCAGCATGTGCAGCCCAGGCGCTGCCAGCTGATGGAAGATGAGGCGGTGATTTTTGGAACTCCGCAAGGAGCCAAAACGGCATAGTTCGGGCCATGTTTGGATTGGCGACAGAGAGAAAGCCATGAAGCCATTCTGTGATCAGCAACGGTATCACGCATGTGTACACGCACCAACTTGTGCACCGCTGACGAAAAGCGTGCATTGTTGAATCTCTAGAGGCGGTTTAGGTAGTCATTCCTTTCTGACTTGCTTCCACTTTTGCTCGAGACGATCCTGCGACTGCCCATGCTATCAGATCTTCCCTGCTTCTGCTGCTCCTGTTGCTCCTGCTACGAACCCATGGAGACGACGTGAAGCTGCCTGACTCGGATCGGCTTTGGGCGGCCTCGGCTGCATCTCTGTCGGCCGGCGGAGCTCGAAGATGATGACGGGTACCTTCAGCATCATCATATGAACAATCTTCTTGATTGCGCTTTCGTGCTAGAAGAATTCGTGCAAGGTGACAAAAATGCTCCAGCTACAGCAACGGAGAATTGACGAACCCAAAATCCATCTCTCATCCGACCTGGGCTTGATGAATCGAAAGCTAAGCCCAGAATCGCTGAGTTTCGTGCATCCTCCTCACCTGCAAAGACTGCAGCGGCTTTGAGTCGAAGGACGCTGGTCAGCTTTCCCCACCCCGACGCCAGCAATACTGATACCCTAATTACACACCAGACACTGACTGACAGCAACACTCAATAACCCTAAACAATTCTGACGGAACTCACTGCCACTACTCCCCCCTGGACTATAACCTCGGAGATACCAGCTGCTTCCCTGAATTTCATCTGCTGAAGCATCTCAGAGCCTTCGAGGCTCTTGGCCATCACGCTTTGCCGCTTCGACACGGCCAGGCTCTTCAAGGAGGACTCCAGCAGATCTGCCTCGCCTCCCCAGGTCTAGGCTCTGGAGAGTCTCTCCCAGCTCAAAGGTAAGGGCTCCTTGGTTCTAAGACACCACAACAAGAGTTGCATCGCGGATATGGGAGACCTCATGTAGAGTCACTATAGGGGGTCTGGTTAGGTGTGAAGACAGGGCCTGCCGTGCGGCTTAGGGCTGTGCAGCTTCACATTAAGCCCTGCACCCACCACCGGACACTGGACAGTGGGCGAAGCTATGAACGCTACAGCCTGGTGCAGCGCACGTCTTGTCCTCCGGCGCTGCATCGACAAAGCCACACCATCCACAAGGCACTCTGCAACTCTCCGGGCGCGAAAATTTGGAGCTCCGCGCCCGAGGGCCAGCACTCCAAACAAAGATGGATCCGCGGGAAACCATGAACCTGAACCCTTGGGCAGCGTGCGCGCCTGGTCGATCCTGGAGGCTGAAGACCACCCTGCAGAGTGCTAAACTACTCCTAGGCCAACATGCTCCAAGCACACCGAGGAAGTCGAAAGCGTGACACACAAGTTTTGACGGGTGCAACCTGCAGGCAGCGCTACATCAACACATTCCGCACAAAAACCTGCAGTCGCCGAACCGGAGCACATGCTTCTCAGCTGCTAAGTCAAGGAAAACTGGAAGCGCGGCAATGACACTCCGCGCTGGTTTGCATGTCCATGGCACTGTGCCGGAAGGATAAACCGTAACCCTTGCTAACAGGGGACCGCGTGCTCACGGGACAGCGACACGGTTGATGGACATAGAGCTGTGGCGAGTTTGGGGCATAAATTGTCTATACCCTGCCCCAACCGCCCCAACACCAGCCACTGAGTTACCACCGGCGAATCCAGTAAAGCCAACCGAGCCAAGTGATGATGCTTTCCAACACATTAGGCCTCCTATATGGTCCTGCTTGTCAAAACAAGCAAAAAGATTCGCAGAACTGAAGGCAGTCGCTACATGTGGCTACTGCCCTCCACACGAGCTCGAAAGCAGTGTCTGCGCCTCCCACCAGGTGCAAGGAGACGTTCGGCCGTCGAGAGCAGCTCACCTAGAAAGAGTCCATGAAAGGTAAGCTGACTTAGCCATTTGACTTGGGTCAAGGTTTCCGGAGAAGCATGCACGTGCCTGCTTACGCCTTTCGTTCCCCGCGACCTACTCTTGTCGTGTTTTGACACGTACAGCAAAACTAACACATAACAGTGTCAACAGGACCTGCCTCAACAAGGCAGGTCCTTCTGTGGGAGGCTCTGATACAACCTAATCGCGCCGTACCTAAATCATCCCAACTCCACAGGCCACCATGCCCCAAACTCCTTACTTCAAGAAGACCATCATAGGCCTTTACACGTAAGGAACAGAAACCCACAACCCACACCTCCGATCCCAAACTTAGACCCCAAATGGCAATTCCCAAAAAGTCCTAAACATGAAACCGCCTAAACTCCAAATCAAACACCTGAACACCAAATGCAAGTTCAGTGCCTGACCGATACACTGGGGTCGGTAGCTCACATCGCTGCCCACGACCATCTCGAAGGTACCTCGCAGATAAACGGCTACTACCTTGCATCTACTGGTATCGCACTATATAACGACATGTGCATCAATACAACGGACACATCGACATGCGTAACCTGTACGCTTGTCTACATGATCATCTTCCCAACACACATACATACATGCATACATACAAAGCATACACCTATACATGCAACCACACTTGCGGCTGTCATGCATGAAACGTCGGCACGAGATCCTACTTCCCAAATGACTCTTCCAGCACATGCCTCCTCTTGCAGATCCTCGAGTTGAAGCGGATGGAATACGAAACAAAGTACTATACGATATTGAGTCTTTATATATAATATATAAAATCATATGGGCCAAGGGGCCAAGAACCTCCATCTGCTCCTGGTCCCCCCACGTCAGGGGAGCCACCTGAAGGTGGCTTTCGATAGGCTCAAATCTTGGGTCCAGAAGGAAAGGGCCTCAGAAAATGGGGAACCCAGGCTGTCACTGGCTTCAGCTTCGTATTGAACCCAAAGATGCTCTTACCCGAAGTTTTGCAAAAAAAGCCTTCATGGCCTGAAGCTGCAGCACTTTCAAGCCCCTTTATCCCGACCTGCAGGTCGAGGCCCGTCGGAGAGTTCTCGGAGACATTCAGGCCCAGGAGCTGCAGTTGCTCGGGCACCTTCATCTTAAGATCAGCTAAAGAGGGCGAACTCATAGCTATTATGGTAGTCGCAGTCCTTAGTCTGTGGCAAGTCTGCGGCAGGCAGGTACAGTATCGCATTGAAGATGGTGATGCTGCTGATGGTGGTGGTGCCGCTGCTGGGCAGCAGCAAACAAATGCTTACCTCGGTCTGAGATTTGCATGTTAAACATCAGATTCGTCGTCAGGCTCGGCAAGTAACGCGAAGGCCTAGGGCCCAGGGCATTGGACCCAGGTTGATCCTACACTAAACCCTAAACCCTAAACCCAGGGGTAGATGGCCCGGTGCTCTTAGCATCCCAGCGGGTTTCAGCCCCTGCGATGCCTCCGTGAGGGTAACTTCGCAGCCCTTGTGCAGGGCCATAAAAAGTCCTCGGTCGCACGCTGTTCTGCATTCATTTTCCTAGGAGCACAGCTAATCATAGATCCCAGCTTTGTAGCCTAAACTCTTCTCTACAGCTGTTGAGGTCCATGCCCTCTTCTGACTCTACCAGCATATAAACCCACATGGGGTAACATGTCAGACTCAGACTTTTGGGCTGTCCCAGGCTTAGGAACCGGATGGCCCGAAGAATGTAGTAGCCCGCACGCTCCAATTGAACAAAAACCGTCGCCTAAGGCACCAAGAACTAAAATTCAGGTCTGTCCAGGTCCCTGAGAACATCTTTACATGTTCAGTCCAGAAGGCTTCATGAGCCAATAGAGGAGGGGGATGTCCGAACTGAACCCAACCTAAACGCAACATGTTGAAACCCTGCATATCCTGGCACATCCAGGCCACCAAACTAAACCCCGACCGCTCCCAAATCCATTCTAGGTACATACACATATAAAACTCAATCCCCGGCGGCCCTGATGATGCAGTTTCAGAACGTGCATTTGCACTGGGTTTTGAGGTTTAGGGGTTTAGGGCTTAGGCAAGAGATTTCCAACTGCATAGAGGAAAAAACATGCACTGCAGGTCTAAAAAGAGCCACGCGCCACCCAGCAAACAAGCTGGAAAACACGGGGGAACCCCATATGACGTTGTGTACTCCAGAAAACCCACCAAAAACCTCAGAGCCGGCCAGCATAAGCCCGGGCGCCCACTGCGCCAACGCCAGCTCCAAGCTCCACACAGCGAAAATTCAGGCAGGATTTTTTCACCTGCCAGGAATGTAGGAAGAAATCTTCGTTTGTGGCATCGGGTTGAGGGTCTGGCAGGACAGCAACAAGTTATACAAGTTGTCGTGGTTCGTAGTTCTGGGGAGGGGGGTCCGCAACTTAAAGGGTTGGTTTCCGATGGCACGCCCCCGATTTCGGCATGCTGTTGCACCGACAGCAACACGTTCGCGAACTTGGTACTTGGGGGACATGGCCGCGTGTTATTAGTGTTTGCCGTAGTTGTGTTCTGTAATGGTGACGCCGATACTGCTGCTGCTGCTGCTGCTGCTGCTCGTGTTGATGGCGGTGGCGGTGGTGGTGGTGGATGGATTCGAAAGCCCGGCCTGCCCATCAAGGTACTCGACGAGAGCTGTGGCTGCTGGCCAAAGAACTGCTCCGGTGGTTCCAACGGCAAAGCGGCCTGCAACGGCTCTATTGCATAATCATTGTGCAAGTCGCGAGAATAGCACAGTAGATGCCCAAACACTAGCCACATGTTTCCAGCCTGAAGCACAGCACAGGAGGAGCAGCTTATGAGTTTCGGGCTTCGGCGATGATGCATGCAGGTCAGATAGAACACCTGTCGATTGATTGTCGACGTCCAGCATCTCTTGACTCTTGTTGCCCCGAGGTTGTGAGCCCTGTCAAACGAAGCCGCTGGCAAACAAATTAGTCAAACTTCTCCCTTCGCGAGCGCAGTGGCGGCCTGTTGGGTCTTCTAGCAGTGTCAGCGACCTCCCCTTTGGTGGGCCAGGAATTGGAAAGTGCCTGCTCACAGGAGGACGATAGCGCGACTATAGCTGAACTAGTTGGTCTGAACTCTGCAGAGGCATGGCGACCCATGCCACTTCCAGACATGCATGCGAGCTTTTCACAACATGGCCTCTTCCGAAGGTGGGATTCACGATCTTGGAAGGAGCTCGTATTGTGTTCCCAAATGTCTTCCATGCCTTACACATCAAGCGAGTGGTGCTGGCAATGGCTGTCATCATCATACTTGAAAGTGGTGGTTGGGCACGGGCTACAAGGAGTACTTAACATGCTACGAACTACTCAAGTTTGGATGATTACTTAAACATGTCGGCACTAAAACTGGCACCCGACTGGACTTCAACGACGGATCAGCCCAGGCGGCTGGTCTATGGACTCTAGCCCCTCAGCACGGTTTCGCGGAGGTGTTGCGCCACGAACGAAACAGCAGCAAGTTTTGACGACATTTGGCACAGGACGGTATATATTCTGTAGTGCTGCGAAGCCAGGCTTCGGAGAGTAACAACCATCCACGATGCTGGCCTCTGCCTCTACTTAGCTGTAGTTTTGCACAGAACTCCGAGCTCCCCCACGTTTTCGGCACATGGCCGCCCAAAGTGCTGGAGGCACATTTGGCGGAAGCCCTGGCAGCTTGCACTTTCGAAACGGGGCCAGGGAATCGTTTCGAGTTTCAGGTTTTATCGTGTTAGGGATTTAGTAGACATGGCCAAAGCAGACTTTGCGTGCCAGCAACTTCTGTTCATGACAGCTGGCATGGTACTCGTTTGCACCCCACGTCTACGAAAAGCCCAAACTCGAGGAACCGAGCCTCACACCCTCAAGGTCCAGGCAAGACCTTGGCCGCCCGACCCCGAGAAGACTCACATCTCAAGGTAACCCTGAAACCCTAAACTGAGATATACCAACTTATGGCTGCTTGAGGCCTGTGAACATGACATGAATCATGAACACATCAAGTGCTGCTTTATCTAAACATCGACTTAGTATAGACAATAAAGATACACTCCTCAGCCCTCGGCCTCCCTTAGGAAACCCTCTGCTGCTTACGGAGCCTTCTGGTGGCCGCTCGGCGCCCAGAGCTGCGAAGAGCGACGCGAGCTCGGGCACGGAGCCCACCAGTCCCTCAGCGTTGGAGTGTATCTTCCCTGCAGAATTGGATGGAACGGCGAGTTCATAGAAGCAGTACTGGCAGTAGTGGCAATGGCAGTGGTCGTGGCCGTGGTGGTGCTAAACAGCAGGTGGTCGTAGTAGTAGGGTTAGTATGGGTAGTAGTAGCAGCAGCAGCAGTAGCGGTAGCGGTAGCGGTAGCAGTAGCGGTAGCAGTAGCGGTAGCAGTAGCAATAGCCGTAGCAGTAGCAGCAGCAGCAGCAGCAGCAGTAGCACTAGCCGTGGCGGTAGCGGTAGCAGTAGCAGCAAGAGTAGCAGTAGTCGTAGCAGTAGCAGGAGCAGTAGCAGCAGGAGCCGTAGCCGTAGCAGGAGCAGTAGCAGTAGTAGTTGCAGTCGTCGTCGTCGTCGTCGCCGCCGCCGCCGGCGTCGTCGTCGTCGTCGTCGTAGTAGTAGTAGTAGTAGTAGTAGTAGGTGGTAGTTGTAGCTGGTAGTAGATGGTGGTAGATAGTAGTAGATAGTAGTAGATAGTAGTAGATAGTAGTAGATAGTAGTAGATAGCAGTAGATAGCAGTAGAAAGTAGTAGATAGTAGTAGATAGTAGT